TGAATGTAAATTAATAATAAATACTGTTAATACTACTGTCTTAGCAGTAAACACAGATGTATGCATTTATCTTTTTCACAGACATCACCACAGTAGTTTTAAAGCAAACATCCAGAGAGACATTTTCTAACCATGTTATTTGCATGGACACCTCACATTAATAATACTGGAGAAATTGCTCTTAGGTAAATAAACACTCCCTTTGGTATTACACCTTAATAACCTTTCTAGGCATGAGTTACAAGATCAGAATGCATTGCATCCTTGTGAATATACATTAAAAGTACACTTGCAAAGCCTGAGATTGCAGAAAAAACATATTAAATGAAGCAAACATAAGTGTGCTTCAAGTTTGATTGAGACTATCACTGTATGAAGAAATGCTTTCCAGTATCACAAAATCAGAGAACTTGCAGCAATAGTCATTATACACACCAAAGAGTGATGGCCTCAAGGCAGAATGTTTGGGTATACACATTTTTATCACAGTCCCCCTGTGATGTAAGAGGTGGCTCTTTAGAGAAAAGGAATTATCCCTGCCCATCAATTAACCCCTAAAAGACAGCAAAGTTCAGAGCTTCCATATGCATACTGAGTGGGGACAATGCTCTTCCATACACAATCATTTTAGCTCAAATCACATTAATTTGGATATTTATAAAATACATATCTATAGTAATGACAACTTTTGCTGTATTTCCCCCAGTGTAACACATCTAAGAACAGTAATTGCTGTACTTCATCCTTTAAGGGTTAATATCTAAACACCACTGACTAATGACCATATCATGCTTTTTTCCTAGAAAAGCTACTTTTGCAAAACCTGTGAACTATGAGGTATCTGTGAAAAAATATAAGGAATTCCTTTCCAAGCATATGATTTTTTTCTGCTAGTGCATGAGACTAAAATATCACACATACAGTCAGCTCATTTCAAACAATAAGCTGTTTATTGATAGACAACATATATTTACAGGTGTTTCCTCAAATGTAAGAACAAAGCACCTGCATTTTCATTCTGAGGCAACAAAGATGTTTAAAAGATACTGCTTTAACAAATGGTTGTTTGTGTAACTATATGCTAAAAGGAATATAACTGAAATAAATATGTTGGGATTATGTCTATCTGGAACTTTCATCTCTGTTTAATACTGACACTAGTCTATATCGTTCTTGTATATTTTCCATAAATAATCTAAATAAAACACACAATGCTTTTGGTGCATTTTTGCTGCATCCTGCATGTGCCTCTCTATAATAAAAAAGTAAGAACATTTAAATTTCATTAATGTAAAGTAAGCCAGTAAGTTCAAAGCAAATTATATACATATCTTCTACCTTTCTTATGAAATATATGTGTAAACTGCAATTCCTACCTACAAAGGATACTCCCAGTAGTTTCTGGTGTTACTATTAGGGCTAACAATGACTGCTTGTATATGTTATCATATGTGTTCCTTACACTCTTCACTCTAACAATAAATAAGCAACCAAACCAACAACCATGCATCGGTATCAGTCACTAGCATAAACATTTGCACACTGTCCTAAAATAATGATTTGAATGTTATGAGAATAGTGCATGATTTGATATGTACAACAGAGTTCAGTGCCATTAAGGCAACACCATGGAATAAATATGTAAAGAGGTGAGAATGTGAAAATAGCCCAAAATAGAAAAAGCCAGATAATGTGTCGAATGTTCCATCTGTCAAAAAGGGGAAGCATTACAATGATGATTAGATTTTCCGCCACTCAGAGCCACGGTTCAGTGTTTTCTCGTGGGTTTCGATCGGTGGTAGGGATGACTGGCAGTGTGTTGCTTGGGTGCACCTTTCTGTCCTCTGGGCTTCTGCTCTATGAAGGCATACGTGACAGATGTTGGCCTCGAGGACGCAGCCCCCACATCTGGCATGAGGTCTACCTTCAGACTGTCCTCCTCCAGTAACTTTAATTTGGCCTCAAGAGCAGCAATCTTGCTCTTCTTGCTGCAAGAAAAAAGAGAATTATACATGATAAAAGTGATGAATTTCTCGGACCATATCTGCGCATGCATGCAAGCACATATATTCATCTACATAAAAAACAGAAACACAAAACAAGAAAGGGGAAAAAGAGGAGACTCACCTTACTTGACTGGTTTCCCCTTTCCCTCCACTAAGGATGGGTGGAGCAGGTTTTTCCTTTGTTCTCTCGTACATACTCTGAAAGCAGGGGGGAACTTTAGGCATTGTTAAATATCCAAAGGAATATGAAATAATGAAGGAGAGAGGAACTGGTGTGATAGGAGAGGAGAGGAGAGGAGAGGAGAGGAGAGGAGAGGAGGGAGGGAAGGAAGAAACAAAGGGAGAAGGAGGGGGAGGGAGAAGTAGAGGGAGAGGGAGAGAGGGGGAGAGGGGAGGGAGAGGAGAGGGAGAGGGAGAGGGAGGGAGAGGAGAGAGAGAGGAGAGGGAGAGGGAGAGGAGAGGGAGAGGGAGAGGCGAGGGGGGAAAGAGAGAGAGAGAGAGAGAAGAGAGAGAGAGAGAGAGAGAGAGAGAGAGAGAGAGAGAGAGAGAGAGAGAGAGAGAGAGAGAGAGAGAGAGAGAGAGAGAGAGAGAGAGAGAGAGAGAGCGTGCAGTATGGTTGAACTTCCTTGGCAATATTACCTAATAAAATGAGATAACTCCAAAGAAAATCTCACAAGCCCAAAGATATATTTGGAAATATAAAAAAAGGCAAAATAACAATATGGTCTCCATTGGTCTTCATTATATATTGTCAAGAGAGACCACGCATATAAATAGGTTTTACCTCATCCTGTGCATGTGCCCATTTGACCGCCATTCTCCGACCTAAGACATTCTTCCCATCTAAGGTGTTCATTGCTGCCTGTGCACAATCAGGGGATTTAAACGTTACGAAGGCGTATCCACGAGGCTGCCCAGCTTGAGGGCCCGATCGATGATAAAGAAAGTCGAATTCCACCAGTGGTCCAAAGTTTTCCACCATTTTGAGGAGTTGATACCAATTGGGGAGAAAGAGCACCTAGATTAGATATGCACTACTGGAAACACTTAAGGTGTGAAATGTATCACACAAAAAAAGCTACAAACCAAAAAATTCATACAGCTATAATATCATCAATGAGTAAGCTTATAAAATACAAATACATCAAATAACTTTAATACATAAATATCCAAATGGCTGGGTTTATAAAACTTCACCCTCTATATACATAATCTATACAAATTTAGCTCTATGTGTAAACACCTTTCATTAATACACTTTCATTGATGGAATTTGTCAGCAATCAAGACTTGGCTTACTTACTCTCTTAATCGACTGTCTAAATTCCCAACCCATAATCTTCTGTCGTCTGTTCTTGCACAATCCTTAGGGGGTGGGGGCACAGGTATGGTGACTTCCTGAAAAAAAAGTTAATCATGAACTTCCATTGAAAAAAAAACAATGACAACAATCAGTAAATAAAAATACAATGAAAATTAAAATATAATCAGAAAGATTACATGCAATCCCTCTCCTACCAAGCTTGGAACGATGAAGGAATAACCACTCATTTTATGCAGCCAATGATTTTGAAGAGTTTACTGTCTACATATTGAAATGTGATAATATTTGTACACATGCTGTAAAAGAATTCATTAACTTCTATTTCTATATTCCTGTTTATTTTTCCTAATAGTTTCATGCGTTCATTATTTTGCATTCTACCTATGTGATTTTCCAGATTACTGTCTAGAATCAAGATTATATTTTGTCAAGGTAAAGCTTGTCATTCTCCTTGGCAATTTATCATCAAATAAGGAACCAGTACTAGCTCTATTTTGCCAAATATATGACCTTTGCCTTAGAGTAGCCTCAAGAATCCATGAAGATTCATTTAGAAAAAGATACATATGCGAATCAATATCCTCACAGTAAAGGAGATATATTTGATCAGTTTTGACGATATCTCCATCAGAAATGCATGACAAAGCTATAATTAAAACTGGTTGAATACTTCTCTTGCCCTGTGAAGATATACTCCAAGTTGGACAAATCTTAGTGTTTGGACTCCGTATATCTCCATCAGAAAATTGGGCATATGACAAAGCCATTTATATTCTATTAATTTTTAAAACTTTTCTCCGTTCATGCTGACACACACCATGGCGGTTTGAGATTCGCCCCTCTCCTTCGGATGCTCACTAGTGGAGGATACTATACTCCGCTAAGTTTTGCTCACCCTTGTTTTCTTTCTAACACTGTGTTTACCTTCTTCTCTTCTGCGCCCTCCTTCAGTGCACAGTCTTGTCACTACTGTGCCTCACATGCCCTCCTCAATCCGTCTGCTCTTGGCTCACTCTATTATATCTTGTCTTCATTTTTTGTTCTTCTAGTAACATCTTTGATCTGTTGTAGGCTGTTCGGATACATTGTCTGTGTGCCGATCTCGATCCCACAGTGTCTAAACACACGCGAACATGACCCTGAGTCTCGTTACTATGGGTCTTTCTCTCTTCTGTTTGCTTTTTCTTTCTCTCTCTCTCTCTCTCTCTTCTCTTCTCTCTCTCTCTCTCTGCCCTCGATCGTCGCTCTCTTCATCTGTCCTCATAAAACATACTCCCTCTCTCTGTCATATCGTGCCTCTCGGTCTCTCTCTCTCCCTCCCTTTCCAGTCAGCCTACAACATGCAGAACTACAATACCCTCTTTCACTCATATTCTTATCGTCTGCTCTCACAGTCTCCCTTGCACCTCTCTCTCCCTTCCATCTTACGCTCATCTTTCAACGATTAATACACACCCTTCAAACTCTACTCCCCTCTATCTCACTCCCTCCTTCATTGCCACTATAACACCCGTGCCTTCTCATACGCTTCTCTCCTCTCTCGTCACATCACACGCTTCATTTTATGCCTCGCGCACCTCATCATACTATGCAACTCCGCTCTCACTGCACTTTCTTCTCTGGCTCATTCTTACATTCACTTTGCACCCAAACCAATCGACATTGAAGTGTTGGATATATATATATACATTGACATCGAGTCTCTCATAAGAGATTCTCTACGTGATTGAGTCTGGTGGTGTTTTTGCCTTCAATATGCTGCTGTTTTCAGACCAGCAGTTTTTGATTGTGCCCTGAGAAAGAGAGATGAGAGCCTGAGTAGCCACGTAATAGAGGTGAAGGATGCCATCAGGATCATGGATTAAGATTCGAAGAGCCATCGAGCGAGCTCGCCGGTGAGCAAGGGTAGTTAAAGTCTACATACAGTACACGTCTTTGCTTTTTACATCATGTGCATTGATACGACGTGCGTTGAACGGCTGGGAGTGAGTGAGGGATTATCCATGTTAATTGGATAAAGTTGGACAAGAATGTTTTGATTGCTGTTTGAGAAAGGGCCGGTTGAGGAGCTACTTTTCTCATCTTTCAGAACCTAGCTTTGCCGGTCTTTTTCAGGATAACTGTCCTACTAGTGTTCCTGCGTTTGCCGCGTGGGGCGGGGGATTGTCATCTCGTACGCTCTGTGTCACAGTCAGTGGCGTGAGTAAGGCATGGGAGGCGAGTTGTGGGGGCAAAGGCGGATTGTTGGGGGCGGAGAGGGATTGTGGGCGGGAGAGAGATAGTATAGAGCGTTGGGTAGTCAAGTACACTGTGAAGGAATGTATCTTGAGCATGGATGAGTTGCAGGGTAAAGCCACAGAGAATTAGGAGGTGTTGATAAGGCGGTTTAGATTTTGATTGTGCCATTTATTGGGAATCATGTTATCATAGTAGATAGGGGGTATAAGGGGTGATCGTTAGCAGGCTTTATCAGTTGCAGGTGGAGGGTTAAAGGGTTATTTTAAGCGCATCAGAGTGTGAGAATGTTATACGAGAAATTGATCGGTTAGGTGGCGAGCGATGGTATTGAGAAATGAATAGTGTAAAGGACACCACTTATTGATACAATAGCAATGTTTGACTTGTGCGGTGCTGGTTGGGGTTGTGTCCACTGGATGTGGACAAGTGTGATAGAACCATATGTAGGTGATCCAATGGCACAGACTCGGTGTGTCAGGAACTGTCTTGGGTCGCTGTGAAAAGGGTTTGTCTGGGGTGAGGGTGGAGACAAGAACTCATAGGAGGTGCCAATTCAGTTTGGTGAACGGGTATGTGGGGGAGGGAGATCGGTGCAAACAGGGTGTGACACCCAAAAGCTGTCTCGTGATCGGAGGGCGTGAGAAGGCCTCTAAGCTCCGCCCGTTTCAGTGACATAATGGGAAAGGCTGCAGTTGACAGGCTTGCTATTTTACGGTACTTTTCTTATTTTCTGACAGGTACACAGTATTTTTGGAGTATGATATCCAAGATGGGCTTTTGATATCTTATGGCGTGGGTAGAGTGCGGCTGTTTATAGAATATCCAATATAAATACAATATATGGCATGAAATATCCGAAGCAGGAGGAATGCATCTAGCAACTCGATAAATGTTTACCGCCTACTCGATTCTTGTCACATGAAATGTGTCGTGTTTCTCATAACCACTGGAAAAGATGGCAAAGGAGTTCCAAACGCAACATTAGTGTAAATATCATGCAAAGAAGCTAAAAATTTTAGATATAAATATCACCTTTCATTCAACCCTTACTTCTAGCCCTTTCACAAATACATGCTTAAATACATCTAAAATAACCAATTGCTTGTTCCTTTAATGGTTGCATGAATCAAGCATTTAAGGAAATAAAGAGAAACTTGTAGAGAGAAGAGAACGAAAATTCCTTTAAAAAATACACGAAAAAAACAATCATTTTGAACCCCGTTTCCTTTAATAAGGCGAAAATCCAGAGCTGTCGCATAAATCTCTTTAATTCACCAATGAAAAATGAATAGCAGAACTTATATGAATGGAGAAATAACCTATATATTCATCAAATGCTGCTAAATCTAGAAAAATATACATAAATAAGACAGAGGAGCTTACGTCTGTCATGTCTTCGGTCGTGATCGATAGAACTTATTTACACCGACATCGTTTTAATATATATTTCTTCATCATCATTTTGATTTCTTGGATAATCTGATATATCATTTGTTGATTTTGAATATTTTGGATGTATGGAATTATCATTAAAAGGACGAATGATGTAATTATGAAATGTAGAATTTTCTCGAAATTCATTAATTATGAGGCGAGATGTTCATGTTTTTTGTTGTTTATTTAATATATTCAGGTTAGAAACGAGTAAAATATATATAATAACACTAAGAAAAAGCGAAATGTTGACATTGTGATTGTATTGTTGCATCTCAATCAAATTTATTTTCTGAGAAGCCAAAGATTTACATTTGCAATTTATATTTCAATAAGATCATATTTGATTATCAACAATTTACTATTTCAATAGTTTTCGTGTAGAAATATAGAAAGAAAATTCCAGTACAATAATATTTTACAAGAAAATTTAGGCTCGGAACTCCTGTAAACAAACGTCTCGCCAAACATTCGGAAGAGAAAACACTCCATTTCCTGTAAGTAGTTTAAATTCCCTTATTTAAGCTATATTTTGGGGAAAGTCACATTCAAAGAAGCAGGAAATCAGTGGTGTTAGCTTTAGTATAGGGAAATAGTAGATAATACGAAATGCCGCTTGTAATGACAAAGGTTCTCGATTTTACATTACACACCCACGAAAATAGAAACGAAAATGCATTATAGTTCCGGTGCTGCTTTGTGCTTCGTAAAATTGTGAAGTTTAAGTCTTATTCATACGTAGATGACGCGATATATCGTTATGATGAATGTGTGAGCCCGGTTTGGTGAATAATGATAGTAGCTTCCGTAGGATACGTTCTACAACTATAGTATACTGTTACAGCAGACAATGTATTTTCCACAAAAAAACATGTTGCACGTGAGCCAAACTGTAGAGTATAACTTATGCATAATGTAGAATGGCCTATTTACCTCTTTGAAATATACAGAGGAAGTGACTATGAGTATGTCTGAAAAACCCATGATTGGTATTTTGCATATGCATAGTGAAACAAACAAGGTGGTTGCAGTCTCAACACAAGAAGATGATACCACTCTCAATTAGGTTAGGATAGGGTAGGTTTAGTGTGTACTTATTACTCGGAAATAATGTTTATATGCACATATGTATATGTGAGGTATGCCTAACTGTGAGAAATTAGATGGCTGTACCAGCCATTTATAAAACCATGAAGACTTTAGCAGATGCAGTAATTCACATGATGAGCATGGAAAAGGCCAATAGCCTCCTTGGTGATTAGTCATCAAACAAGTAATTTGTTCAAGCACTTTCTTGACAGAATATCCATAATGGAGTTTTGTTGCCCTTTGCCGGAGCACAGATTTGGTTGTCCTATACTTGACAATTAACAGAATTTATATCTTTGCACACCAGAGATCTTTTCATAAAGTGTCACAGGCTTCAGACTTGAAAACAAAATATGAGTTCTTGAGCAGTTGTAGTGGATGTATTTGTATACTTATTTATATTTTGAGCTCTATTGTATTAGTGTCCAGTACCATAGTAGTATGAAGGCTTATTATGGACAAATACAGATATGTCATAATTTTGATATATTGGGATTTTTTGTACCTATCTCATAATTCATTTTACTAAAATACTTATGTAGATTTTAGAAATATATATATATATATATATATATATATATATATATATATATATATATATATATATATATATATATATATATATATGTGTATGTGTATATATGTGTGTATGTATGTGTGTGTGTGTGTGTGTGTGTGTGTGTGTGTGTGTGTGTGTGTGTGTGTGTGTGTGTGTGTGTGTGTGTGTGTGTGTGTGTGTGTGTGTGTGTGTGTGTGTGTGTGTGTGTGTGTGTGTGTGTGTAGTAGTAGTTTTAAAGTAAAAGTGTTAAAAAGTATCAGATATGCTGTAGTCTCGATTTAGTATAAGTTTTTTTTTTTTTCTTCTTCTTTCTTTTTTTTGTGATTCCATATCTTAGTGTTTCTTTAGTTGTTTTTATAATGGTACAAATGCTGGTTTTCCCCAAATGTTTGGATGTTAGGAAACCTCCTTTAGAAATTATGTTTCTAAAGAAAGTTAAATGATTAAGGTACCAAGTAGATTGAAGGAAAAGGATATTTCAACCAATTTTTTTTTTTCCATTTTTTTAAATTCATGAATGGCAGAGAACCATTGCAGCTTATAGGCTTGTGCAGTATTTAGGAGATTCTTTTCTTGCATAACAATTTATGTGGATAGCCAGCTTTGCTTTGAGGAGCTCTTTCTCTTTCTCTATATTTCTTTTCCAGTTATGCTAATACATATATAGGTTTTGATATATTTTCAAGGAACATGCAGCACTTGATAAAAGTATACAGCCTCTGATGCAGGACTCCTCTTATAGTTGGAAAAAAATATATATATTTTAAAATAAAAACATAGCTAGTTCTGTGCTTCCTGTAGTCTTAATGATGTCCGCAGATGCTTATAAACTGTGCCTCTCTCATAAATAGGCATAGATTTATTATGGTTGAACATGCTTTTTTTCTTTCTTTTTTCTTTTTCTTATTCATGCTCCTCATTTTGCACATGGTGTAGTCCCTATCAAGGAGATTCCAGAGAAAATCATAGCCCAGAGGATTGTTGTAAAGAAGACAGGAAATCAAACAGGAAATATATGAGCTTGTATTAGAGTTGACTATTAGAGATTGACAGGCAAATCCAGGAAGTTCAGTTAAGGTTATAGGACACTTCTCCACAAAGCCTGAGGTCTGTTTCCTTTCTTGACCTGGATGTGATATGAGGGTTAAGCTCCGCAACACAATCCACATTTTAAGTAGAGTTAAAGGCCTTCCAAGGATGATCAGATCTCAGCTACTGAATTGGCATCTTTCCACCCTAGCATCTTTGAATCCTTGCAACCTCATAGTAATGATTAATTGCTCAGTCTTCAGACTCATATTTCCTCAATTTATTAGTCATGTATGGTATTTTTTCTTTGGACAATTCTTTGCTAGGGGGCATAGTACACACAAAAGGAAAGAAAAACATGTGTAACCACACTAGATCCAGGTATTTAAAAGAAGGTATTTAATAAGTGTTTTTTTGCATCTTGGGAAGCCTGTGAGAGCCTGACACTGTAGGGTAGCCTATGAGTGTGTATGCAAACTTTAGTCCCAAAAAAGGTTCTTGAAAAACCTGTTTTATCCCCCTGTGTATGTAGCATCCTATGTCAGGTGCCATTTACATTAGTAAGGTATTTTATTATGATATAGTAAAAAAAAAATCCCAATCCCTCTCTCTTTGCTAAAAGGATAATGAAACCACTTTAGAAAATGTCATAGATATATCATTGTTCCATGGGTAAACTATAAGTGCTGGACACAGTGCCTTTCATGCTTAGTAATGTGCTGATATAACCCTTGGCACTTGGAAGATATATCAGACATACACTTCAAGGAAATAATTTCCTCAAAACACACTCCTGTGCTATTATATGGGGGCACGAGTTTGGAAAAAAGTGCATGCATTGAATATGTCAGGATAGTTTTTATGCAGTGATTTTTATTAAAAATTGTGTTAATTACACATTAAGTACATCAGTTTTTCCTAAATGAAAGCCAGGGTTTGAGTTATTGAAAAAAAAATCATATTTCCATATATTTTATCAGGTATGTTCATGAAAAAAAATATATATGATTTATTATTTGAGTAGGTCTTTGTAGATGATGGCACAACATTGATGATTAAGTTGTTTTATGGGAAGAGAAGACTCAGAAAAATAGTTGCTATTTCTCTCCATCTCTTGAATGGAAAAGAATTAGCTGCTCATCTTTGGTTATTGATTGATATAAAAGATATTATATATATATATATATATATATATATATATATATATATATATATATATATACATATATACATATATACATATATACATATATACATATACATATACATATATACATATATAATATATATACATATATATACATATATATATCATATATATATATATATATATATATATATATATATATATATATATATATATATATATGCGTATATATGCATATATATACATATATATATATATATACATATATATAATATATACATATATATATATATATGTATATATATTATATATATATAATATATATATATATATATATATATATATATATATATATATATATATATATATATATATATATATATATATATATTATATATATATATATATATATATATATATATATATATATATATATATATATATATATATATATATATATATATATATATATATATATATATATATATATCACATGTATATGAAATGTACATTAAAATCCTAGTTTATGAGGTTCCCTTAACTATAAAAGTTATTGAAATATGTATAATCAAAATTGCTGGTATATCTGTTATATAATCAAGATTTCTACAAGTATACTGCTAAAAATCTTGTACAGAGTTAATGGAATACTTAAGCAATTATTGTTGAAAACCACTTACTAGTGCACATTCTAGACATTTCTTCTTTTATTCTTTGCGTGTATGCTTACATTTTTTTGACACCTTTTGAAGGATTATATTTCTTCTATATTTTATTGAAGAACAAGAAAATTATTATTGAGCCTGTTTCTATTTTCCCTAAATAGTGAATGCCACTTTGATCAAGTAGCACATGTTTAGTTTTTATTTTTTCCTTTTCTTTTTTTTTTCATGATATTGGTATTATTTATGGTTATTGATAAGCATTCGAGTACTCTGTACATTTTACTTGTGTGTTTGTCTGTATATATATATATATATATATATATATATATATATATATATATATATATATATATATATATATATATATATATATATATATATATATATATATATATATATATATACACACATATAAATATACATAAAATATACATATACATATACATATATACATATACACATATACATTAGACACACACACACACACACACACACACACACACACACACATATATTATATATATATATATATATAATATATATATATATATATATATATATATATATATATAATATATATATATATATATATATATATATATATATATATATATATATATATATATATATATATATATATATATATATATAAATGTTTATATATATATTTATATGTATGTGTGTGGATAGACAGATAGATAGATAGATAGATAGATAAATGTATGTATGTTTGTATGATTAGAGAAAGGAATACTGGTATAGTATATTAAAAAAAAAAAAATGTTACAAAGGTTCTTTGATGCTTAGCTTTGTGTCTCGTGTGTATGTTATACAACTCGAAAGTTTAAGGTTATTACAGTATAGCTTCATTACTCATTTATTGGCCTCTTCTGGCATGTGCAGGTACAGTACTGGCATGTGGTTTTATAACTGGCATAGAACTGACATTAGGTTTCCTACATCTTGATTGCTTCTTCGACTAGCTTGTAGTTTTCAAGTTGAGCGACTTTTGTGATATATAAGAAGTCATGGCTTTTTAGTTTCCTTACCTATTTCTCGCTGTCATTTCCCAAAAGGCGTAGTATGTTATCTGATATAAAGCATCGGAGGAAGTGTACAGTATGCGCATCCTTTGCATTTATTCAAGGAAATTCTAATTGATTCCAGTAGTGAAAAACAAGTGGAAAAATACACGTTGATTAAAGGAACGGTATTGCCCTATTAATCTAAGAAGACATTTTCCCAGTAATGTAAAGCTTCGGGCAACTCGTATAAAGTCTATAAATCAAAATGGGTCGTGTTGTCCCAGGCACATTCGCGTATATATTACATTGCAATATCTGACTACAGTTCACAGTCTCTTTAAATACAAAACTGCAATTTCACTTAGGAAATATATTATATTACAATATTATAGACACAACAAAACACTGATCAATCTTTTTTTTTTTTTCTTTCTTTTTTTAAATATTAATTTATTTTTTTGACAAATTTACAATCATTATTCATTCACCACAGTCACCACACAGGCGTGAACTGGGACGTCGAAGGAATATTTTTCCTTCTCCTTTGCAATTACAGAGTGCTTTTTATGGGAGAGCTTTGGAGTTTCGGGTCTGTCATGCCAGTGCAGGATGATCTCTTGGTCGCAGGGACAGGTCCTTATGAACACTGGGTTGGTGTAAGCAGCGTGGAGATACCTGTATGAGGAGGAATGTAAGGCGTGTTAGTAAGAGTGGCAGGTGATTCATACAACTTGGTTCGTAAAAGTGGCATTTGTGTGAAACAAATATTTTGGACATTCACACTCTCTCTCCCTCTCTCCTCCCACTCTCCCTCCCACTCTCCTCCTCCCTCCTTCCACTTCCCTCTCCCTCTTTCTCCCTCTCTTCCCTCACATCTCTCTCCTTCCTTCAACCCTTCACCCCTCCTTCCTCTTTACCTCCCTTCTCCCTCCCCATTTCCATGTTTCTCTCCTTTCCTTTCCCTCCCTCTCCCTTCTCTCTCCCCCCTCTCCCACTCACCTCTCTTGCTCTCTCTCCAATGTTCCTCCCTCTCCTTCCCTCTCTCTCTCTCTCTCTCTCTCTCTCTCTCTCTCTCTCTCTCTCTCTCTCCTCTCTCTCTCCTCTCTCTTCTCTCTCTCTCTCTCCTCTCTCTCTCTCTCCTCTCTCCCTCTCTCTCCCCTCTCCTCCTCCTCTCTCCCTCCCTCCCTCCCTCCCTCCCTCTCCTTCCCTCCTCCCCCTCTCCCTCCCTCTCCCTCTCTCCCTTCTCCCTCCCTCCCTCCTCCCTCCCTCCCTCCCTCCCTCTCTCCCTCCCTCCCTCCTCCCTCGTCCTCACTCACCGCCAGAAACCGCGGAGATTCGTCGGGATGTCGTAGTCCTTGAGTGCTTTGGCAGCCACGCGCAAGTGCTGTAGTTTGGGCAGCACCTCGCAGTCAAGGTGTGTTAAATTGCTGCCGCCGAGGTACTGTATTTGCGCACCTGAGCTACCCTCGTCCTCGTCAGCCTGAGAAGAGAAAATAAGGGGCGAGAGCGTCTTTATTTTCTTGGAAGTTGGCGGTGTGAAGAAATACATATATGCGTGTGTACCATGTAATGATTATGAATAAGTATCAGTGGCCTTTTTGGTCAGGATGGTACTTGTTCATGGTCTGTATAAGTGTACCGATGCTGTACATGTGTTTTCGGATTGGCAGTATCAGTATGGGTTGAATATTATTCAGGTGAACCTATTTTTTGCAAGAAAGTTTAGTTCATACACCCATTTTTTGCAAGAAAGTTCATTTTGCATTTAGTTCATACACCCTAGAATTAACCTGTTTTTTTGCAAGAAAGTTTAGTTCACAAATCATAGAAATATCGCCTCACCTGAAGATTCGTATCTCCGTTGGACATTCCGTTTGTCACGTGGGTCCGCTCCAGGAAGTTGTTGAGGCGTTGCAGGGCCTGGTCCAGCTTGGAAGGGTCCTGGTTGACGGCTTTGATGTAGAAACAGAATTTGGAGAAGAAGTCTTTGGTGGCCAGGTCTGCCTCGGCGCTGTTGTACTCGAGGCCACCGCCTGGAAACCTGGAATTTTTGTTTTTGTTTTAGTTTTAGTTTTAGTCTCTCTCCTGGATTTTTTTTTTTTTTTTTTTTAGTTTTAGTTTTAGTCTCTTTCGTTGTCTGGTTCGTTTGGAATTGGGAAGGGGACTACGTCATTCAGGGGAATATCAGTGAATATCTTTGTATCCTTTTCTTTCATGGGATGATTTTTTTTCTTCTCTCTCTTCTCTCTCTCTCTCTCTCTCTCTCTCTCTCTCTCTCTTCTCTCTCTTCTCTCTCTTTCTCTCTCTCTCTCTCTCTCTCTCTCTCTCTCTCTCTCTCTCTCTCTCTCTCTCTCTCTCCTCTCTCTCTCTCTCTCTCGTCTCCCTCTCCTCTCCCTCTTCTCCTCCCTCCTCCCCCTCCTCCCTCCCTCCCTCCTCCTCCTCCCTCTCCCTCTCCTCTCCCCTCTTTAACTGGATTAAAAGAAACAGCAATCTCGAATGAAAAAAACACAACATTTCCTAAGATTCGCTCGAGCAGTTGGCTCCGGAGGGCGACCTTACTTCGTGTCGAGGTAGTGGACGATGTCATCTAGGGCGTCGAAGCCGTCGTCCCCGTGGATGACGGCGGGCACGTGCTTCAGGCCCAGCGCCTTGAACTCTGCGGGGGGCTTGGCCGGGTTGGTGGGGATGACCTGGCGGGGAAGGGGGGGCGGGAGATGAGGGGGTTGGTGGCTTTTTTTTTTTTTTTTTTTTTTTTTTTTTTTTTGTGTTGTGTGTGGTGTGTGTGTGTGTGTGTGGGGTGTCTTGTGTGTGTGTGTGTGTGTGTGTGTGTGTGTGTGTGTGTGTGTGTGTGTGTGTGTGTGTGTGTGTGTGTGTGTGTGTGTGTGTGTGTGTTAATGGCGCAGGACACTTGAATCGTGAATTGTCTGATTGTTATCATAAGTACGTAGAGCCATTAACGAGTCATGTAAATATTGTCCTAAGTACATAGAACAATTCATGATACGTGTAATTATGTAATTATCTTGTGAAACATAGAAAAAAATACTGTAATTATAATCATTTGTACACAGAACGAGTAAAGAATCCCGTAACTACGAACATTGAATACAATCTTAAACTCTCTTCGGCGTGTAAATTCTTTAGACTTGACCTGACACACATATACCCGAGCCTCGTGTTCTTCTTAAATTCCTTAAATTCTACCCTTAAATCCTTACCTTAAATTCTTAAATTCTTCTCCTTACCTTAAATCTCAAGAGGTTCTGCTGGGACTTGATAAGGAGGACCATGAGGACTCTCTGGCAGAAGGGACAGGCGCCCATCCTCTCCCCGTCCACGCCCGCCTTCACGTACACTGCGAGTTCTCCGTTGGCGCCTCCTCCTCCTCCTCCCCCTCCTCCCCTCCTCCTCCTGCTGCTCCTCCTGCTGTCTGCCTGCTGCTGTTGACCCACGCTGCCCATTGTTTTGGGTTTTTTATTCTCTTTATAGTTTTCTTGTTGTCTATTTCTTTTCTTCTTTTTTTTTTTCGTGGGTTTTGTTTTGGCGTTTTGAGGGCTTTGGTTGGTGTCTCTTGGATCGTTTTGTTGTTGTTGTTTTTTCTTGTGTCAGTCGTTTTGTTTACTTTCGCGCCGTTCTGGAAATAAGAATAAATTCGTGTTAGCTTTTTCAAATGCAAATGCGTAGATGTTGTGTATGTTATTATTTCGAACAAAACAATGGAGTTCCCCCCCCTCCCCCTTCCCCCTTCTTTTCGCGTTTCCTCTTATCTCTTTAATCTTTATTTCCTTTCTCCCTTCGCCCTTTCATTCTCTACGCATCCGCCTCTCCACCTATCCCTTTCGTTTTCACTTTTTCTTTTCTATTTCACTTTTTTTTTCAACATATCCTCTCTCTTGTCCCACTTCTTTTTCTCTCTCTTCTTTTACCCATATTTATTCGTTCTCTTCTCCATCTCCGCTTCTCCTCCTCCTCCTCCTCCTCCTTCTTCTCCTTCTCTCTCTTAGCGGTAATTCCAGTAGGGTTTGCGGTGAAGGAAAAGAGGAGAATGTAGGGTTAGTGGTCAGAGATAGGTGGAGGAGGTGAAGGAGGGGGGTGGAGGAAAGGAGGTGAAAGGAGGAGAGGGTGAGGAGAGGAAGGAAAAAAGGAGAGGATTAGGAAAGAAGGGGAGAGGGGAGAAAAGAGGAGAGAGAGAGAGAGAGAGAGAGAGAGAGAGAGAGAGAGAGAGAGAGACAGAGACAGAGACAGAGACAGAGAAGAGAAGGAATGGAAAAGAAGAAGACGGAAGAAAGCAATTAGAGAGAGAGAGGGAAATGGAAATGAAGAAGAAGATAAAGAAAGCAAGTTAGAGAGAAGAGAGAGAGAGAGAGAGAGAGAGAGTGAGAGAGTGAAGAGGTGAGAGAGTGAGGAGTGAGAGAGGAGAGAGTGAGAGAGAGTGAGAGAGAGAGAGAGAGAGAGAGAGGAGAGAGAGAGACGAGATGAGAGAGAGAGAGTAGAGAGAGAGAGAGAAGAGTGAAGAGGAAAATGAAGAAAAACGAAAAGCAGTTAGAGAGAGAGAGGGGAATGGGAAAATGAAGAGAGAAGATAAGAAAGGAAATGCAAGTTAATGGAGAGACAAGAGAGCGAGAGAGAGAGAGAGAGAGAAGAAGGAGAGATAGAGGAGAGGAGAGAGGAAGAGAGAGAGAGAGAGAGAGAGAGACAGAGAGAAGGGAAGAAAGAAAGAGAAAGCGGAGTGAAGGGAAAAAGATATGACGCTAGGGTGGCGTGAGGGAGTCTGGGGAGGGAGGAGGAGGAAGGAGGATGGAGGAGGAGGATAGGAGGAGGAGGAAGGAGGAGGCGAGGAGGAGAGGAGGAGGCAGAAAGGCCTCGAATGAACGCAAGGGAACCCGTCGACGCTGTCACCGAGAAACACGCGCTGCGGGATAGGATGTGGACCGCCTCGTCTCATCTTGTCGTTGCGCTCCGGGGGGGGGGGGGGGGGGGGGGG